CGAAAAATGCCATCTTTCAGTCAACAAAGGGTCATCCTGACTTTGCACAATTTCGCGCGTCGTGGCTTCAATAATATCATGGGCTAAGCGCGAGTCAGACGCCACAGTGTCCAGTTTGGCTAAGGTGCCAAAAATAGCAGGCTATAGCCAAAGTGGCCATACTGCATCAGGTCTGAAAATATCAAACCAACCCTCCTTGTAGTTTTGCCACTATCTCAATGATTTGACGTGTCTATGCCTATATGGTCGCTTTTAAGCACTAGGGGGCTACTCCCCCCCCCCAAAAAAAAAATGCTGTTTTGAGAAAATCGAAGGTCAAGTTTTTGCCCCTAGTTCAGGTTCTTTACAAAACAAGGAGAATTTTCTCTATAACCAAACAAGTAAACACATCAATGAAACCAAACTTCTCCTACAAGTAGGGCAATGCCCACTTTTGGTGCAGGTCAAGATTTCTGGAAACACCCGAGATCTGGGTTAGCCCACTTGTCCTTAAAAGCGACCATATAATAATATGTTCAAAACTTGCCTATTCCACCTTTTTCTAAAAATCCACTTTTTCTCAAATCAAGAACTGCGGACGTATTTAACCTATAACCTCAGTCGATGATATAATAATATTTGGCGCTGCTTTCAACACAAATTGGTCAACCAATGTGCGACATCCGCGGTCCTGTCTCCGATAGGATAGGACAGATCTAAAACTGTGTGCCACCACTTTTAAAGAGGAAATTTACTAATTAATCCAATCCGTACGCTTTGCATAGCAGTCTGTCAAAATGATTTTTGAGAAATACTGAAATTTTCAAAGAGATCTTCACACTAGAAGTATTCTAAAATAGGAAGAATACAACCCCGGGGGTACACAATGATCCCAGGGTGTGTACGAATAGGGCTAGAGGACGGCCCTGAAACGTCCTGTGTTTTTGTTGTTGTGGTTATTGTCAAGTTGTTTCTGTTGTATTCCAGAAACGCGTTAATCAGCCTTCATTATTGTTAAATCTCACAACAGTTTTCTGTCTGAAAGAAACTCAACACAATACACTGAAGTAACGGAACAAACAGGAGATCAAAACTGAAAAAACAACCCAAAAGACAGTGAGTGAGAAATGTATAAATATAATTGTAAAAATGATGTAGTTACTTGTAAGACTGAGGTGGCTTCCATATCTGAAAGAAAAACAACACAATGCACTGAAACAACGGAACTAACACGAAATCGAAACTGAAAAAAGACCCCCAAAAAGAGAGTGAGTGAGAAATGTATAAATAATAACAATAATAGTAATAATAATAATAATATAATTATAATAATAATATGTAGTTACTTGTAAGACTGAGGAGGCTTTCATTTTCGGAGTAATCAAGCTATCCGATTGAAGAGATCCATTTCTGGACTCCTCGCAGTTGCAAGTTGCGATACTATGTCTCCGCTTCCATTTCCGCGACAGCCGATGCTTGGCCATGTGGAGTAGTGGATGCATTATATCCAGATCACACTTCACGCGTCGTAATCGTAATCAGTGAATCCGATATCTTGCAGATATTATATACACTCGCACACACTCACACGCACCACAATTTTGTTTCTGACGAACCGCGAACGATCCTAGACTCTTTTTCAACCTGAGTATTGAAGAGCTCCGCTATTCACAAGCACAAGCACAACAGAAATGGATTCTTTTTCAACTTGAGTATTGAAGAGCTCCGCTGTTCACACGCACAACAGAAAATAAAAATGGCGTCTTTCTCTGCACACTATGTATTCAGTCTTTGATTAGATAGCAGCGCCCTTAGCTGATAGAAACTGGTCCGTTTGATGTAGATCTATAAGTCACCGAATTTAGCTAGTATAAATTTTGCTTCTTAACTGAGTCATGGACGCAGCGAAATAACAAACTGTGCTATTCCTATTCTTCCTCTGGAGAAACGAAAGAGAGCTTCAAAACAAAGACTGCAGGGTCATCTGAAACAATGCGCGGACTTCCGTCGACACTTTTTTTTTAGCCAAGGGAACTATCTTGTTATGTACAATCTTTGCCTTTACTTTGCAGCCTTCGCTTCCCTGACACGCGTAGACATGTACACTTGTGTTTCCACTCAATCTGCTCCGTATAAGAACAAACACAACACGGATCTCCTTATTCAGCTAAATAATCTCTGATTCTTTGTTGTTTTTGTCGTTGTTTTGTATTTTTATTTTTCGCTTTGTGTTTGTTTTGTGTTTTTTAAAATCCAATTTACCACAAAGGCTTGCTGTGATTCACGTCTAGAGTATCTTAATTGTCTTTATTTATTTCTTTTCCGCTTCGAAAGAAAGTGTAATCTTGTTGAAACTAGAACACTTTGTGAAGCAGAAATGTTATCACAAAACCACGACCGACACTTGAGCCTGTACTGCACGTTCACTTATCATCATCACTCCTAGAGGAAAGACGCAGATTGGGGAACACCCCTTAACGTTATATCCGGATGCCAAGTTCCGCGAAGCCCAAATTCTGACCAATGAGAACGCCGAAGATAAAAAGCAGCACATTCCCTTAACGCTGGAAGAAGAAAAGTGTTCCTCCCTAGCTCGACCTACAAAAAAAAAGGGGGGGGGGGGGCACACAAACTCAAGATTAGGACGTGGAGGAAACCAGACGGACTTTTATCTTTCTCCTGCCTCGTTTACATCGCGACTGACAGCGACAAAAGGGGTGGGGAGGAGGGGGGGGCAGCAGAAGTGGTGACCAAGTCGTAACAGAACACGAAGCCCCAGCAGCACACGCCAACAGGTGGACCGTCAAATCAAAAGCCGAGCTAACTACATGAGGTTTAAAAATAGATATATCTAGGACAAAAATGTGACAATAAAAAAAAAAAAAAAGAAACGACAGTTTGTGAACTTTGGGCTGGGTGGTTAAGCCCATAACTGTTTACCTACCCGCT